CTATCTATCTATCTATCTATCTATCTATCTATCTATCTATCCCCATTAACCCCCTCTGTCTATCTATCTATCTATCTATGAATGAGATGCCTATACACAAGGGTGATTCAAGGTGAGTGATACAATTATTTTATTATTAACATTAATATAGTTATTATTGCCAGACCTGCTCATTAGTGTCAGCTACTGTGACCTGCAGAATACCATAGACCATCAGTGATGGTGCTGATCGTACATTAGTGATCAGAGGCAGTGTGTGGCCTAGAGGAGAGCGCTCTGCCTGTGGCCTGCAGGGTGACTTTGGGTGAGTCCCGTCACTCCCTTATCATGTACCTCAGTTTCCCCATCTGTAAAAAAAGGAGAATAATACTTCCCTCTCCTTGTAAAGAGCTTTGAGGTCTACTGTTGAAAAGTTATTACTACTAATAATAGCAAAGTTTGCAATGTGTCCTGTCTGTCACTTAACAGCTGTGTTCACTGTGGACAGGGCTTACAGACTCATAGACTTTAAGGTTAGAAGGGAAGATCATGATTATCTAATCTGACCTCCTGCACATTGCAGGCCACAGAACCTCACCCACCCACTCCTGTAATAGACCCCTAACCTCTGGCTGAGTCACTCAAGTCCTCAAATCATGGTTTAAAGATTTCAAGTTAGAGAGAATCCACCATTTACACTAGTTTAAACCTGCAAGTGACCCGTGTCCCATGCTGCAGAGGAAGGCTACCTCCCACCCCCCCATCTCTGCAAATCTGATGGAGGGGGGATTTCCTCCTAACCCCAGATATGGCAGTCACTTAGACCCTGAGCATGCAGATGGGAAAGAATTGTCTGTAGTAACTCAGAGCCCTCCCCATCTAATGTCCTATCACCAGCCCTCGGAGGTATTTGCTTCTGGCAGTCGCAGTTCGGCTACATGCCATTGTAGGCAAACTCGTCATACCATCCCCTCCATAAACTTATCAGGCTCTGTCTTGAAGCAACTTACGTTTTTTGCCCCCACTGTTCCCCTTGGAAGGCTGTTGCAGAACTTCACTCCTCTGATGGTTAGAAACCTTCACCTAATTTCAAGCCTAAATTTGTTGATGGCCCGTGTAAATCCATTTGTGCTTGTTGGTAATATGTAACATGCCTTCTTTTTTTTTTTTTTTTTTTAGCTTCCTCATCCTGTAGCATCCTAAAAATTCAGTCCCGTCCATTTCAATTATCTGCTTCCCAAAGCCACGTTGAGAGAACATTGATCTATGTACTATCAGGTTCCTGCTTTCCACAGACCACCTCTTTGTTTTTTGGTCGATAAAAATACTGCCCCCTAGTGCGTAAACTGAAGGCACTTTCTCTACAAGGGATTTTCTGAATATGTTCTTTCTTTCTTTCTTTCTTTCTTTCTTTCTTTCTTTCGATATTCACCTACATTTCCCCCCCCCCCCCCCACATCATAACACAGGTAAGGAAAATCAGGCGCATATAAAGGGGATCATATTTTTGAAGAACCTCCTAATTTTTTTCCATATTTATATTTAATGCATTTGTTGACCTATGCGCTGTTACAGGAGGCAAAGCTATTTAGGTCAGCTAGCAAGAATAGGGCTAGTTTTCTTGCTTTTCTGTTTTGATAAAGTTATGGTCCTTCGTTTTTTTCCCCCAAGAGAACAATTTTCTCCTATTTATGGTCCCCATTTCCACAAAGAAACCAGAGGGAATGGAGTCACCGATTCACTGATTGCAAGAGCCAGTAAAACCTTCCCCTTCCTTTGCAACTTTCAAATGAATGCAAACGAGGCAAAGCAATGGAGAATGAGTCTATATCCCTCCAAAGAAACCAGTGGGAACGCAGCCGCTGTTCTCTGCGTTGTTGAAAAGACACGTCCCTTTTTGAATGAATTGCAGCTATCTTCCACCTTGACTCATTGTGAACTTGCTGCTGGTTCTGTTCCACAGGCCGAGCGCCCCTTTACGTAGGTGTCTATAGTTGGATCATGATTCCAGAGGGAACGACACAGGTTTGACTTTTGGAGGTGGAAACGGGCAGTTCAGTGTCTGGGGAGAGCCTGAGGCTTCTAGAATCAGGGGTTGGTATCCCCCGGGGCAGGGATTTGCATGCGGGTTTCCCGGGGAAGATATAAGCGATTAAAGAGACTGATAAGGGGGGTCGGGGCTCGCTGGCGGAAGTGGTGCTGTAGGTTAGAACCATTGTCCCCCTGTAGTGATAACGTGGAATGACTCGTGCTGCATGGAAGCAGAAATTCTTGATTGTTTCTCAGGGTGTTCATGGAGGATGTGGCGTTACCCAGTGCTGGTGTGTCCCTCAGCGCTTCTGCATCTTAGGTGTGAACAGTCCCCTGTTATTGTACCCTCTTCCAAATGTGACTCCACGCCCTGTGTCTGCCCCTCTGCGCTGTATCAGAAGGAAACAAAGATAAAATCCCTTTGATCATTAGGAACGGTTCCCCGGGAATTAGGTGGGAAAATCCCATTGCGCACTCAGAGACCTGGGTTTGCTTTTCCTGCCTCCCTTCCCAAGAAACCACCATGCTGGTCCTCCTGCTGATTCTTGCTTCCCCTTCCATGTATATTTTCCTGGGGAACGTTGTCTTGCTGTTAAGTGTAGGACAACCGAGCCCTTAGGGGCAGATTTTTAAAGGTATTCAGGCACCCAGAGAGATTTTCAATAGCATTTAGGCGCCAAAAACTAATTAATTTCAATGGTAATTAGGTGCTTAGATGCTTCTGGGAGTCCCACTAGGCACCTAAACCCCTTTAGAAATCTGACCGGACCAGGGGCGCTAGAACAATTTGTATAGTGGGGGTGCCCAGAGCCAATGAACCAAACTGTAAATCCTGCATATGACAGAAACCACTTCAAGACAGGGGCGCGGCAGCACCCCTAGTTCCAGCACTTATGGACCCGACTGGAATGATGTACTGATATATTGAAAAAGCCCTTAGCAGTTTGGTTGGTTTTTCACAAGTTGGATGGCGGGTGTGTTCCTACCAGTGGGGCTAGGAAGCGTCTCCAAAGCCCAAAGTCTACGGTATTTTGGGCACAAATCCAAGATGATTCCCACGGATTCCTCGTCCTCCAACTCCACCAACCTCCTCTGCGTATTTCCTTTTGATTTGTGTGGATTCTAGTTGGGGAAACCCCATATCTGGCTTGTCTACACGATCAAATGGACCGCAGCAAGGTTGGGGTGTGAATCGATCCCGCTATAGCACGTTGTGGCCTAATTGCTGGTGTGCACCATGGAGATTTGCATTCATAGCTCCTTAGAACGCTTTGGTCTAGTCCCCTTTGAAACTGGAGTAGCTCAGAGCGCTCTGGCGAGCTCTTAATCCGGGTCATGAGGATACACGTGAACAGTTAGACCGCAGCAGGCTAGTGCAGGGGTAGATTCATCCCCACCTCACTGTTGCCGTAGACAAGTGAGTTAAACTGGTCCCTGCGCTGCTCAGAATCCACTTCCCCTTTTTGTGCCAGGCCCGCTCTGCTCTGTGTCACTGTGTGTCTGGAGCAGTAATACGTGGCGGTGTCTGCAGCTGTCAGCAAGCGGAGCTCCAGGGAGAACTGGTTCTTGGAAGGGTTCACCGAGATGGTGATGCGACTCTGGAGGGAAGCAGCGTAGTTTGTGCTTCCCCCTTGAGCTATACGCCCGATCCATTCCAGCCCTTTCCCGGGACTCTGCCGGATCCAGTTCCACCAGCAACAACTACTGCCCAGGGTGTCCGAGGAGGCACCTGAGATGGAGCAGGTGAGGCTGAGAGTCTCTGAGGGTTTTAGAGTCCCAGGCCCTGACTCCACCAGCTGCACTTGTGACAGGACCCCTGTGGAAAAGACAGAGCCGTGTGAATTCATCCCACAACCCATTCATCCCCTGGTGCTGTGCAGATCGGTCCCACCCAATACTCACACGAGGGGGTGGCCAACAGGAGAAGGAATACAAATAACGGCTTCATGATTACACTGTCAGAGAACAGAGCCTCTCTCCGAGACGCCAGAGAATCTGAGCTTTCTACCTCCAGGAGCGTGTGTTTATACAGGACACGCGTGGGCAGGGATTTGCATGCAGATATCCCTCAGGGGATATAAGAGAGGAGAGGGGTTGAAAGGGAAATGAGAACGCTCCGTGCCTTACACAAAGGAGACACATGAGTCAGATCTACAGCTACAGATTTTGAATCATAGGATTGTCCAACAGAAATTGGAATGACTCGGGCGGCTCAGGGCACGTGCGGGTCTCGGTCTGGGCATCATCTCGGGTATTGTCAAAGGCTGCAGGGAGAAGTGGTTCTTGGATGTGTCTGTAGAGATGATGGTTCTGCCTTTCCAAGTGTGGGAATAAACTGAATCTCTCCCCATACATCATGTGGTCTATCCATTGCAGTCCTTTCACAGCAGGCTGCCAGACCCAATTCCAAGAGTGATAACTCTGAGTGGTGGAAAGGTTTGAGACGTCACAGGTCAGCGTGAGGCTCTCTCCTCCTTTCCCCATTCTCTGGGGGTACTTGGCCCTGCCTCCGCCGGGGGGCGATGGACCAGGTGACCTCTGGAGATCCACTCCAGCCCTACATTTCTAGGATTCTGTGATTCCTGGCACGGACTAGACCAACTGGATTTCAGAGAGGACACCTTTCGGGGAGTAAAGAAGGAGCAAGTATATGAGCGAAAGGCACAGTTATAGAGAGAAACGATTCTCTCCCTATTTTCCCCAATACACATATGAAGGAATAGCTAATAGAAGATTGACGTCTGTAGGGATTTTATATTTATGCACAGTTACTGTGGCAGACTTGGGCTCCAGGTTCTGGACGACATATTCCTGGATGAACATTGGAGTATCTAGAATCAGAGACTTGTGTTTAAACAGGGACTCACTGGGGGCAGAGGTGCACATGGGTTTTTCACCCAATGGTGAAGGGAAATGAAAGGGTTCGAGAGGGAGGTTTACAGTTTAAATAGGATGCTTCCTCTGGGATATGCCCTCATAGACAGAGAAAATACATTTCAGAGTCGTGGGACTTCAAGCACAAAGTCTAGTCAGGGGTGTACAGAGCAGCACTCAGTGGGAGTTAGGTATGTAGCCCAGGCTTTCTTTTGTAACTGCTACTAGATGCATATCTGCATTTTTAGGCACCATTGAAAATCTGGCCCATGATGCTGAAAACTATTTATAAAGGCCAGAATCTTCACCGAAAGTGTTTGTCTCAAACTATTTTTTCTCCTCTTTCAAGGGAATACTTTCCACAGACTTTTGCACAATTTACCTGTGTAACTCATTGCTGCAGGAGATCATGAGGGCCAAGGTTTTATCCCTATGAACGATCATTTTATTGTTAGATTATGTTCATCTACACATTTATGAATACTATAGAAAACGGGTTATTTCCCCAGTCATTCACCTTTGGTGTAAATCAGTGGTAACTCCGCTGGAGTCAAGGTGGATGAATCACCATTCACTTTCTTTCTTTCTTTCTTTCTTTCTTTCTTTCTTTCTTTCTTATCATAACGCGTGTAATGAAAAATCAGATGCGCACAGAGGAGTTTATAAATTGTACAGGGTATCCTAGATATTTGTAATAAATATGTTTACCATGGATTTTTCACTTTCTGTGTTACAGGAATTTGACATCTATGTTATCAGGTGGAAGGAATACACGTTGTTTGCTTGCTATTGTGTTTTGAAAGCAGTTATATTCCTTATCCCCCCATTGTTCTCCCATTAACATGCCCCCCTCTCTAGAGGAACTCAGACTGAATGGAGGCGCTAACTGATTTCAAGCGTCAGTTACAATCTCCCCTTTCCATTACAACTTGCAAATGACAAGACCTGGGTAAAGGTGATGCAGAGCAACGCTGGGAGTCTCCCCGCTGTACTCAGCGCCTCACTGCACTATTCAAAAAACGCTTCCCCCTGTCGTACGGCTGCCTGCTTGTGTGTCCCTGAGCATTGTCTCTGGCGCAGTGATGGGTGGCGGTGTCTGCAGCTGTCAGCGAGCGGAGCTGCAGGGAGACCTGGTTCTTGGAAGTGTCTTGTGAGATGGTCACTCGACTCTGCAGAGAGCTGGGGTACTCAGTGTTCCACCTGGGGGAGCTATAGAATGCGGGTCCCATCCATTCCAGCCCTTTCCCTGCGGGCTGCCGGACCCAGTTCCAGGTGACGCTGGTGCTAGAAACCGAGTCTCCGGAGATGGTTCAAGTGAGTGTCAGGGACTCCCCAGGTTTCACCGCTCCCCGGCCCGGTTCCCACAGCTGCACTTGGGAGAGGACACCTGGGAAGGAAACACAGAAATGAATCTGTGAGCCAGGCTCCTAACCCCGGGGAGTGGGGAACGTGTGAAAATTAAACACCACGAGACCGCGCCTAAGGTAGCGAGACACCCAAATGCCACTGAATTACATCAGGATCCGGGCACTTCATTCCCTTAGGCTTCCTTGAATGGCTGATCTTCTGGAATCACTGCAGCAATTAACCCTCCGGACCCCCAATAGACACGTACCTGAAGGGGCCTCCAGGATGAACAGGAAAATCAGTAGCAGGTTCATCTTAAATGAAGGTGCAAACTGTCCCCAGCAGTGAGGCCCGGGCAGTTCTGTGTCTAGGGAGGGACCGAGGCTCCTCCAATCAGGGGGCTGGATTTAAACAGGAATCCTCCAGTGAAGGGATTTGCAGGCGAGTTTCACAACGTGAGCAGAAGAGCTGGTAGGCTGTGAGCTCTGTCTACACATGGGCATCTCTCCCTGGGACGCGTGTCCCCCTCAGGCAGTGAGTTCTGCTCAGCAAGGGTGTTTGGTCATTTAGCACTCTTAATGGTCCTTGAAATTGTCAGCCAAATACAAGCGCAGGACAGCGCCTTCTTAGGAAGGAAGGAATATTTGAAGAAGAGAAATTATAACTCTTCTCTAATGGTTTTGGTTGGGAAAAGAGCACAAGGGAGTTAGGAACTGAAATGTCATCATAATCCTGGAGGATTGGGTGTTTAACTCCCTTAAATCCTCTCTGCCGTCCTATCCCATGTTCGGTAGAGATTTATTATATCGCCAGTATAGCTGTCAAGCGATTAGAGAAAAAAATAATCGTGATTAAAAAAATAATAATCATAATTAATTGTGCGATTAATTGCACTGTTAAACAACAATAAAATACCATTTATTTTAAATATTTTTGGATGTTTACTATATATTATTTTCAATTACAACACAGAATACAAAATGTACAGTGATCACGTTATATTTCTCTTTAATTACAAATATTTGCACTGTAAAAAACAAAAAAAACATATTTTTCAATTCACCTCATATAAGTACTCTAGTGCAATCTCTTTATATGAAAGTTGAACTTACAAATACAAATGTAGAATTATTTAAAAAAAAAATCAGTCAAAATAAAACAATGTAAAACTTTAGAGACTACAAGTCCACTCAGTCCTACTTTTTGGTCAGCCATTCACTCAGACACACAAGGTTGGTTACAATTTTCTTGCTGCTTCTTGTTTACAATGTCACCTGAAAGTGAGAACAGGTGTTCGCATGGCACTGTTGTAGCTGGTGTTGCAAGATATTTAAGTGCCAGATGCACCAAAGATTCATATGTCCCTTCATGCTTTAACCACCATTCCAGAGGACATGCTTCCATGCTGATGATGGGTTCTTCTTGATAACGATCCAAAGCAGTGCAGACTGACGCATGTTCATTTTCATCATCTGAGTCAGATGCCACCAGCAGAAGGTTGATTTTCTTTGATGGTTCGGGTTCTGTAGTTTCCACATCTGAGAGTATGTCTACACTGCACAGTTCTCACCAAAACTTTTGTCTTTCGCAAGTACTTAAAAAAGCTCCCCCCGCAAAAGACAAACGTTTTGCTGATGCAAATGGCAGTGTGAATGCGGCTTTGTTGGCAGAAGCGCTCTTCTGCCCACAAAGGTTATACCTCTTGCGGGCCTGGAAGTATTTTGTTGGCAAAAGTGCTGACAAAATACCACAAAAGAGCATTCACACATGCTGATTTTTAGTGACAAGGTTGTGTCAACACTGCCTTGTCACTAAAAGCTGCGTAGTGTAGACAAGCCCTGAGTGTTGCTCTTTTAAGACTTCTAAAAGCATGCTCTGCACCTCGTCTCTCTCAGATTGTGGACGGCACTTCATATTCTTAAACCTTGGGTCGAGTGCTGTAGCTATTTTTAGAAATCTCACATCGGTACCTTCTTTGCGTTTTGTCAAATCTGCTGTGAAAGTGTTCTGAAAACTAACGTGCTGCATCATCATCCGAGACAGCTATAACATGAAATATATGCAAAAGGCCGATAAAACAGAGCAGGAGACATATAGTTCCTCCCCCCACACACACACCAAGGAGTACAGTCACAAATTTAATTGGTGCATTATTTTTTTAACTAGCATCATCAGCATGGAAGCAAGTCCTCTGGAATGGTGGCCGAAGCATGAAGGGGCATACGAATGTTTAGCATATCTGCCATGTATCTACCTTGCAAGGCCCACTACAAAAGTGCCATGCGAATGTCTGTTCTCACTTTCAGGTGACATTGTAAATAAGAAGCAGGCAGCAGTATCTCCCATCAATGTAAACAAACTTGTTTGTGTTTGCGATTGGCAGAAAAGAAGTAGGACTGAGGCTATGTCTACACTACAAAATTAGGTCGGATTTATAGAAGCCGGTTTTATAGAAACCGGTTGTATGCAGCCGATTGTGTGTGTCCCCACCTAAAATGCTCTAAGTGCATGAAGTCGGCGGACCGCGTCCACAGTACCGAGGCTAGCGTCGACTTCCGGCGCATTGCACTATGGTACCTATCCCACAGTTCCTGGAGTCTCCGGCGCCCATTGGAATTATGGGTTGAGATCGCAATGCCCGGATGATGCAAAGCAGTCCCGCGAGGGGTTCTGGGTACATTGCGTCAGGCCCCTCCCCCGCCGTCACAGCAACGGCAGACAATAGAT